CGCGGCAACGGCCACAAAAATTGCCGACCACGAAAATTGCCTGTACGAGCAACGAAAATGGTAAAGTGTGCTGCTAGCTTAATGTCTGATGGACATGTACACTAAAAACAAGTGTGCTCGTTATGAAAGAACGTTAAAAACAAGCGCTCCCTCCCGGCACACATTTCCCCCATCTAGTCTACAGGGATAAAAATTAACTTTTGAACAAGCGAGTCCAACGAACTCCCTACCATCAAAAAGAGGGAGTCCGCAGCAAAGTGAGGGAGTTCGAAGTATACAAGTAGTACCGCAGATATTAACAAAAAGGTCATTTGCGGTGCACGTCTGCCAAATTTTCCTGGGTCATTTGCTAAAAAAAAATATTCGCGAGGCCGTGCTCTGGAACGAACTATAGTTAGTATAGCAGAATTTTCAGGAAGTCACACGGACTACTGCACATGTCAAATTAGGGAGTCCGACAGTAAATCAGGGAGTATTTGACTCCGGACTCCCGTTAATTTCGCACCCTGAATCTACCTACCCTGTTTCAGTGTTTCCAAAGTCTGGTCAGGTGTAATGCATCTGGATGTCTCAGCCCTTGGTCACGATCTACCATCAACTCGCTAGCTATTCAGTTAGAAAAGTTGAGGTCTCGGTCACTGGTCAGGGTATGCAAGGGTACACTAGACAAGAGGATTCCGATCTGTGTTCTATTTATATTTCATCACAAGTTTCAGGACACTGGGTCTATCAACTAGCCAGCTGCGTCGTGTTACTAACGCTGAAGGGGTCGTTGTCGTATATACATGTACCCGAGTATAGTAACCGAGGTGTCGGCGAGTATGTCGCCTACGCCTACTTCATAACCCTAACCATATCAAATATTTACCTCGGGTACATATTATACGCCATTATACGACAACGACCCTTCGTGCGTTACTAACAGCGTTCATTACTTGCCAAGCCAACCACTTGTTAGTGCTTTATGGGAATTGGGAGGGGTTTCATTTACAATGTCTACACTACAGTTTACATCCCTATTGCTGGATATGGACCTTTTGCCTAGTTACGTTGTCATCTGAGCCGACAAGCAATGCACATACAGCCCTGAATGGTGAGAGTCGGGATTTCACACAATGAATCATTGCCATTGAATCAATGAATGAATGAGATTAAACCACACTGGTCTGAATTGGTGACTGTGACTTGACCTCACAGTCACACTAATAAACGTTTACGAACTCTAACTACTTGATCACTGTGGTTTCTCGCACCTCAAAATGTCCGCGTGAGTTGGGCCTTTATTTCTATTCGTAAATTTTTAATAGTAACCTATTTACCTAAGAAGTGATGTCATGTGAACCAGACGCAAATATCTCCTTGATGTATATAAACATTTCGCAGCCATAGTTCGTTCCTACGCGCCGTTACTCCCGCCCTCTATCGAGGATAAATGGCACGAAATTGGCATTTCGCACTCGAACACGTACCTCATACATCGTAACTCAAGCAATGCACCTTGTAGTTATTTATTCAATATTTTTTTATTAAACACCTCCATCGACAGTTGATTATATACACGTACAAATTTGTTTGAGTACAAAGTCTAGACTCGTTATATTACACCACGGATGTAAAGCGAACGCGTGAACTCTCAGTGGACTTTTTATTTTCTCATATAACTGGACCCTGGCTTCTGGGGACACGGGTTCTAGCTGCCCCTAGCAGCTGCCCCGGCAACTGCCCCTGCTGCCCCCCTGCTGCGTACGGCCCTGACTCACTGCATGCCTTGTCATTAGGCTTAGCGGCGTTAAAAATGGGAGTTTGATCATACGATGGTCCCTGTTATCATTCTTAACGTAAAAGATTCGGTTGGAGAGTCTTCCCGACAGATTACTGCTAGACATGTGCTTTAAAAATTAAAAGTAATTTCAACAAATTACTATTACATTCATTAGATAAAGGTTGGACATATTGTTGCACATTGTTCTATGACACATATTGTTACGTGTTAAGCCCGGCGCACACGTGAGTTATTTTACTCAAGTAAAATGACGCATGAGTAATTTTACTCAACGAAAATGCGCCGCAAACGTGAGTAAAATTACTCATGCGTCATTTTACTTGAGTAAAATAACTCTCGTGTGCGCCGGATTTACACACGCTGTTACGTAAGCGAGGATATCTATAGGCACCTTTTGATTAATTAAGGCATCGGAATTTGATTTTCTTGTGAAGCTTCTGCGACTGCTATTTTGTCTCCATTTTAAAAGTATAATTTCAGCAAAATATTGTTCGATTTGTCACACATTGGGCATGCACACAGGCGAACTCAGGTTCCTAGCCGCGATACTGGGGAATTCGCGGGTATTCGCGGGAAATAACAACTTAGCCGAGCTGGCGACCCAGAAAACTATCTTTCAGTTGAAAATGGAACTATCGTCCCGTGTAATGGATGCTGATTGGCTGTGACAATACGCTAATGGATGCTGATTGGCTATGACAATACGCTAATCCTTGCGATTCGTGCAAAATGGATTTTCCTTGTCCGACCGGAAAATGGTTTAGTGGGTCACGATACCACTTATATTCCCGCGGTAGCCTCTGAAAATACCGTAGAATTCGTCCTACGAACAACACACAATAAATAAAGTTACCTTTAGAAAATATACATGTCGAATACGCGCTTTTATTGTTGATAATAAGTTGATACCACAAGATGAAACGACCACTAAATTCTAAACCGTAGTGAAATATTAATAAACATGTGAAACGCGTGAACAAAAGTAGTGATAATATATTGTCAATCGTATCACCTCGAAACTTTCTCGTCTATTATTAATTGTAAGCGTAAACATGCAGGTGCTACGGGCTTCGACGCACCGACAAACTAAGAAATAATCACGATACAATATACGACGACGACGCCGACGACAAAAGTGCATAGGGGCCCTATGGCGCAGACGATAAAAAAACATGATTGGAAAAAACGACAACAAAGAAAAAACCGTGAAATTTAACCGAGAAATATCGAACCATATACCGCACCCGGCAGTTAGATGCGATATACCTGCACTAGTAGCTCCCCCTACGATCGCTTCGCCACCGCTCCCGAGTTTTTTAAAAGCCGCCTGTCCGTCCGACAATGACGTAGAGTTGAGCCAAGTAGGTGAAAGTAAAATGCCCGCGCTGTCCCACAGTGAATATATCTTCGTCTGCCTGTTTGAACACGGCGCTTATTCAGTGGCCGAAAACTACGTCCACTCGGCTAGAAACCGAGAAGAACACAGAAGAACACTGAAGAACACAGAACACTGAAGAACACAGAAAAACACTGCAGAACACAGAAGAACACTGAAGAACACAGAAGAACATAGTAGACTGCAAACAAAAGGTGAGGCAAGCAGGCGACTGAATAGTTTTCGCGAAGCTTGAAAAATATTTTACCGACAAACCCCTGCGACGGCAGTCACCTGTATAGAACAGACACCTCTCTATAAGGGTCATTCAACCTTTCCCTTTGAGCGGCAGTTAAAAAGACGCCCGTCCCCTACAGAACAAACCCCTGCCTATAAAGGCCACTTGACCTTTGTGACGAGGCGATCGAGTCGGACAGCGCGATCGACGTTAAATTGAACATCAATTGGTGACTTCGGTTGCCATCCCGGGCATTGTTAATAGGTGTAAATTAAATGCGACTTCCCACTTAAATCGCGCCGTCGACGATGAAATCGAGTTACGGTTTATTATTTGCGCGGGTCGTGCCATTATAATTGCTTAATAAATGCTCGTTACGACGGCCTAGCGAAAACCGTTTCCGTATAACGTCTACTCAGGGGCTTATTCCCCGGGGAGATACAGCCTAGTTTCTATTTCAAGATTATAACATTAACTCGTGATTCAATTTGAATGTTAATTTAATAAAATTAATTATGCAAGGCGATAATAAAATTGGATTAAATTTAGAGTGTTTATTATTTGATTGTGGCTTTAAAATAGGTGTCATTAAGCGTTGCCGTTTGCTCAAAACTAGGGCAGCACGCAACAGTTTTGCTACAGGTCTACATTGTTGAAACCTGCCTTCAATGTCAGCTGCAAATACTCGCTGCCAGAAAAATTCCACATAAACCATAGAAAAACCACCAAAGGTTCTGCAAGGGTGAGTAAATTTGCTGCCAGCCTTTTCACTCTGGCAGCAATGACTTGGGAAAATCAAAAGTTAACTTCTAACACCGAAATAACTGATTGATTCAGTTTCTTAATGACAATCCTGAGGCTGAGGAACTCTAATGGCAGAACTGATCAGCCGTCCGTCGTTTTTATTCGCTTAACTACTCGCGGATTGTCACGGCCCCTGCAGAAAAACCTAAGAGTGCAGGAGTGTAGTAGTGACCACCACCCACGGGGCAACTACATACATGTGCAGCTTACAGTGTAACTTACACCGATACTCGTGCCTCCAGCTACGCAAACTCACTGAAATCGGGCAAGTTTTTATTCATACAGCAACGTCTGGCATGATTTTTGCAATCAAACTACGCAGATTTCAACCAAGAGCCCTCGATAATGCCAAAACAAAATATATGTGTGGTTACCGTTGCATGCCGAAAAAAAATAGGGTAGGTAGGTAGGGAAAACATTTCATTTTCTTGAAATATTTTATTTACGAACCATGTCCGAAGGATGTGCGTTGTGCCTTTTGAAGCAGGAACTGTCCAATTAATATTATTTTTTATTTTTTATTTTTTATTTATCACAAACACGCTACAATCCTCTCTCTTCACTTCACACGCCACACACGCGCGCGACACCCCGCGGCGCGGCGCACTACACAACACACGACACACAACACACCACAAACACGCCAAGGCACGCATTCTCTCTCTCTCTTCACACACACATCATACACCCACGCGCGTACGACCTCCTCCTCTCTCTCCCGACTCTCTCCTCTCTCTCTCTTAAACACACAGCACGCGGCACGACAAACCTTTCTGGGTTCCATTTCTCTCTTCGTCTCTCATCTCTCTCTCCATCCTCTCTCTCCTCTCTCTCTTCTTCTCTCTCTCTCTCTCTTTTCTCTCTCATCTCTCGCTGCTCTCTCTCGTCTCTCTCTCTCTCGCTCTCCTCGTCTCTTCTCTGCTCTGCTCTCTTTCTCGTCTCTCTCTCTTCTCTCTCTCACGGTCTCTCTCCTCTCTCTCAACACACACGCACCCTCTCTCTCAGACAACATACACACTCCAGATTCAAGGTTTACGAATAATCGGCAAAACTTTATAATGCAAATATGTAAACGTAAAGAATTTTGAATGTGTAACAGAAGTTTAGTGCCTTATCTCTATGTTGAGTCGCACTAACTTGCACGTCAGTTGCAGCTCTGCCCAGTTATGAGAGTCGTCGTCTAATCTCGACTTGAATGCAGCAAAGTCATAATATCATAATAACAGCTCACAGGCTAACACCCACGGGTGATCGTGCCGTCGACAGCTTTAATCTATATGATCCGAAACAGCTAGAGACGGCGCACTGACTTGTTGACTTGGTTTGCTTGTAAGTTCAATTCGCGCTCCATGGAAGCACTTGTTTTAGCGATGTTTTGATTTTGTTTTATGCTAGTGCGCGACCGTTCACGAATTCACTTGCTGTTATTTCTTCTGTTCGCCCCGTTAAGGCCTAAAAACAAAAATATAGCGTGTGTTACGATTTCCCCCGACCGACCCTATTATTCGCAGCGACCCTAAACATTTTACTGTCAATTCTTTAAAGTCAAAA